ACAAAAATTGGACAGAACTGGAAAGGAAGACCCATGACAGAGTGGGTTGTAGAATGCTGGTCGGTGGCCTATGCTGCATTGGAAGTAACAAGCGTAAGTAAGTAAGTGAATATCATTAAAAAGAAAGTCAAAACAAAAAAATCATCTCACTTCTCAAAACTAGTAATGACATCATGTTCATGTAATAATGATGAACATCATTAATCCATTCTGTTATACAACATACAAGAAATAAGTAGTTGAAAATTTGCGAAATAATTCAGACATTATTATTAACATTTTTCTTCTTTTTTAACCAAAAAAAACATCTTTTTGAAAATTATACAAGAATTTCTTTCTTCATTTAAGTATAAGCAACCAATTAGTTATTTGATTATAACAAAAACTGATTAAGAACAATTCATCATTTACGTTAATAATTTTCAACAACAACAACAACAACAATCTTTTTACATAGAAATTAGTTCACTAATTTTCGAATATTTAAAGTGTTTAAAATTGAATTGTTTTTTCTTTTTGTTTTCCGGTAAAAAAATATGTTTTACGACTTTTTTGTTGCTGTTTATTTTGATTTTCGATTTTCAAGTGTTTCTTTTTTTTGTTTAAAATTTAAAACTGACTTTCATTTGTACTTAGTTTGTGTTTGTGTTCACCTAAGCAGTTCATTCATCATAAATGGTGATGGGGGGGGGGATGGTATGGTTGATTTCATACATGCTTGTATATATATGTAAGGATTTCGTTTTAATTTACAAACAACTATATGATGATTTAATTAAATTGAAATGATGTTTACCAATTTTATCTTCTTTATGATTTTATTTACAAGATTTTTAATTCATTAAACAGATAGATTTAACTAGTTAATCAGTTAGTTACCTGATTACCATGTTAATTTCTCCAGATGTAGCTAAGCTTTACTAAAAATATTTAATTACTATTGATACTAGTAAGTAGAAATGTTTACTCCATAGATATGCACGCATATATATATACACACACAAACAGTTATATTGTTTACATTCACGTATAAATTATGTATATCCTTATATATAGTATATGGATTTATTAGGATAAAATGTGGTAATTTTGTCTAAGTGTTGCAGACATTTTATAGTCTGTTTACTTGTGTATTATAATTTATGCTTCTTTATTTTTAGTACAGTTTCTTCACCGCAAATAAAATGACACAAAAGTTTATAAAAAAAAACCTAACTGTATTAAATAAACTCTCCGTACCTTTAATAAAATGTATTGATAGATGGAAAACGTTTTAGTAAACTGTTGCATTACGTTTAATTATTATTGATTTTCAACGAATGATGTTTATTCTTGGATCATATGAAACCTTTGTTCAAAACGATGCGTCGTCTATCGAAATACCGAATTGTAGACAAAATACTAGTTTTATTCAAGTATTAATTGATGTTATTTAAAATGGTGTTCACTGTATACAGATTTCGATTAGAACACTAAGTTGTTGAAATATGCTTGATCTGTTTGACCGTAAAAGAGAAAAACTTTGACAATAATAATTTTAAGTCGCAGTAGTAAAATTTGCTCCTAATTCAAATCTACCATTAGTCGTTAATCTTCTATTGGGATATTTCGGAAAAAAACGTACTTTAAGAACAAGTGCGAATAAAAATGCTGTACCCAGAAGTCTAATTCCCTCTATCTGATACTCGTAATGTATAAAATATTATCAGAATGGGTTTTGTGATTTTTTTTATAGAAATTTCAATGGTTGAAATCATATGTCAATTAAAGCTAGATCATCATGGGAAACCTGGAAGCACTGGACGGCCGTTTCGTCCTGGTGTGGGACTCCTCAGCAGTGCGCATCCACGATCCCTCCCCCCGCGAGATTTTCAAAATACTAAACTCTTAAAACTCAGTAAGTAAGGGACCAAGTTTTGAGAGCTCGTCAGTGATTATACTAGTTGCGCAACACTATTTTTATACAGCACTAGCTAACTACAGGAATCTGTTGGTCATACAAAGCAGTAAATCTATTCGTGTTAACTAATTTTTCTTCATTTCGTGTCAGCATACAAATGACATTTAAACCATTATTGAATTTAATCAACATTTTATCTTTTTGTTACCAAGTGATCAATTCAAGGAAATTCGTAATCTTTATTTGTTAACAGTATATTCAAACACACGTTGGTTGTATCATGGACTGCTCTTAATCTGCTTTTTTAATACACATGAAAAAGAATAATCTTTATTTATCAAGAGAAAATATTAGTGCATCTGAACTTTATAAGGTTCATGATCTACTATACTGTTCATGTTTTATGTATACATTTTACTTTAAAATATAAATCTGAATAATTATGCATTAGATACAGATGTTTCAGTGAGAAATCATTAAAATATATTCACTACTCTTTGAGAACAATCACAATTACAGTGCAACACGGTTTGAAAAGTATCCTAAAGGATATGTGACTAAAATCTCAGTAGTATAGTTTTGTTTAAAAAGTAGGCATCATAATTCTTAATTAAAGGTTTTAAATATGAATAGATGCTTGTATACTAGATGCAAATCAAATGTGAATAAATTTGATGGACGGTGGTTCAATTTTGTGGATTGGTTGAAGTTAGACATTAACACCATTGGATGTCAGCCAGATCAGTGGTATAGAGATGGAGCGTTTGCGCGCGAGACCGATACGTCTTGGGTTCGAATCTCGCGAGGCGGGATCGTGAATGAGCACAGCTGAGTCCCACAATAGGACGGAACGGTCGTCCAGTGCTTCCAAGTTTTCCATGATGTTCTAGTTTCGATTGACTCATTAATTCATGTGTTTAATTGTCAAGATCAATTATAAGTTTACATAGTTTAAAAAATTCATGAAAGTACCTACTCGCCAGTAGTGTAACCGGTGAATTGAATTGTGACTTGTTGATTATTTGTTGTGAACGAATGCCAGCATATGTTATATATATAACCTCATGTATGATAATTGTAACTGAAATAGTCAGGATAACTTAAACTAAAAAACACCTTCCGTTTCTTTTTTTTTGAAAATTAGAATAAATTCATTACATAACGAATTCAGGACACCACATATAAAAGTGCATATCTATAGTTAAAGTGAAGGAAACCATTCTAGAAAACAAATAAATAATCTGCTTCCATGTTTTGTTCAGTTTACTAATGGTATCAATGTTACTGGCTTAGTATTACAGTTTAGAATTTATAAAGTGTCGTGATTATTACAATTTGTCAATCATATTTGTAGAACCAACATAACTTATGGTTACATAGCGTTTAATTGAATTGATCTTTAATAACTAAAAATGACAGGTTTAAAGATCTTTTAAATACATGTGAATGAATTATAGTTTGTTTTAGTGTAGTTTTCATCTCAACAAATGTACAGCTGCTTGTCCTAATATGCTTTCAAGAAAAAATAATGTAATTACTGACAGTTAAACGAACGTTTAAGAACATTGCACTAGATTATACAAAAAACGTTTTATAATTTTTTAGTACATGTACTGATAAAGATCAATCGCTGTTTATTGTCATTTAGGTTTTCTATTTGAGTCCTTCAGTAATGAAGTTGAATTCAGTATGATAGTATTTTAATGACATTACTATTGGAATTAATGATGTGTTCCACATTGGGTGGATACTGAAGCTCATAATGTCATTATGTCGTCAGAACTCTATTTCTAACTGATTCTGATGATCTCTTGTTATACAATCAGCAAAACTTCTATTTAAATATTCCCTTATTATTTTTACTCTAACCTACTATCTATTCGGTGGTTTTTTTTAACAAAACTCAGACAAAAAGTGTAAATCAGTAAAAACATTCTCGTAATTTAGCATTGGAAGTAAAGATATAAATAAAGAAATGTATTAGTTAAATTTTTATTCTTTATTATCTTAGCGACACTTCTTTAACACAAATCACAATTAACCCTTCATATTCAATGTTAATTTATAGAAAAATTTTAAATTGAAAGTACACATCACAATCTAAGTGTATTTATGTTCAAACTACTTTGAGGATATTTATAGCTTTCAAGTAACACATGCCATTAAACTCTTATGACAAATGAATTTATTTTGTGCAATATCACAATTGAGAGCCCCATATCTGATACGTTTTAACTAGTCAAAGAAAACGGATCAGAATGAAAAGAAATTACGATGAATAACATCTAAAAGTAGTTCTACTTTACATTTTGATTAAATATTTTTTAAATTCTGAATAAGAAAACATTGAATAGCAGACGTTAGAAGACATATTTTACGAATCTACGCCGATCGATGAATAAGGAAAATATGACTAGACGTAGAGGAAAGCATTAGTAAAGTATGGGCAACATTTCTAGAACTATAGAACATATGGAACTCGAAACAACTGTCAATCAACATCAAATCCACAACCTTCAATACGAACGTTAAGACAGCTCTACTGTACAGAGCTGAAACTTGGAGAACTACTACCACAACCTTCATCAAAAAGTACAAGTACTTAGCAACAATTGTCCATACAAGATATTCAATGACCATTTATTAGGTGCCCTCAGTAACAACGTTCTGTGGAAGAGCACAAACCAGCTTCCATTTGAAGAGGAAATTAGGAAAAGATGATGGAAGTGGATAGGAAATATATCAAGGAAATCGTCGAACTGCATCACGAGACAAGCACTAACTTGGAATCCAGAAGGGAAACAGAAAATGGGAAGGTCAAAGAACTCATTGAGTCGGTAGTTGGAAGTAGACACGAAAAGGATGAATAGCAACTGGAAAGGATTGCCCATGACAGAGTTGCATGGAGAACGCTTGCGGGTGGATTATGCTCTTCGAGGAGGCGTAACATGCGTAAGTAAGTAAGTATTCCTTTTTCCATTTTATTATTTGTTAACTTTTCCTTTCAGATATGAAGTAATAGTTTATTAATAGTTAACTCCACAAAACAAATTGGTGAAAATGTTCAGTGTATTTTAGTTTTTCCATTAGAACTAAGAAATCGTTCAACAGTATTAAATACCAACAATAAAAGTTCTAGTTCTTAACTCTTAGAAAAACAAACAGAGACAATATATAACAAGACAACGAGTTTTCTTGGCAATACAATCATTACTTTTATGTACTGGTTTATAGTTAGCCAACAAATAAAGTTTTGCCGATTGAGTTTTAACGTAGATAAAAAAGTTTACTATTAAATATTATATAACAAAATATGTATAAATGGCAAAAATAGTATAAACTGATCAACTATATAAAGCATAAAATCATACAGAAAAAAAATAATCACTAAGCATTAGAATTTTGTTAAAACCAAAGAAAAAATATTACAGATTCTCTGACCGCTTGACAAGTCAAAACTTGTACACAGTACATTTATCATGTTTAAATTTGCATAACCAAAATTGTAACAATCTAAATCGTAATAAATTACATACACCATGAAATATCAAGCGTTATTATTGAACATTAAAAAAAAGGGATATAACTCTACTGAAGTGTATGAGCTCAACAGAGTGAGATTTACAGCACAAAATGCATGTATAAATTTATTATACATTCACGATAATATCTGACAGTAAAATCCAGTATTGATAGTTTATTTGCAATTGATTTATCAGTTGAAAGTTTCTCAATTGTATGTAACCATCTAAAACACAATACAATTCATAAGTTTTATAGTAAGTGGACTAAGATTTATTAAATCGAATAACCATTTATTTTCCTAACTATTAAACTTATTTACCATTAAAGTGATCATGTATTGAAATATTATAATTCTTCTAAAGAAAAACTCGATCCATTTATTAGAAATCATATATAAATGAAAATGTGTTTCTCATAAAGAACTCATTATTTCTCCGAAATTAATAAACGTAACACTATAATTTATAATCCAATTTTTGCCTAAATAACAGTCTCCATTTTTAATTTTTAGTTAAAATATATTTCTTACCAGAAAAAAACAACAACATGAAGACGAACCAAGAGTTGGATATCAGTTTAAACATACTAATGACATTTTATTCACGTTACTATCACTAAAAAAACAAAATAAAACATGTAAAACAATTGAAAATCGGTAAACATTATTGTTACCATATGTTAAGGAATGTAAAATTATACAGCCTATTTTTCTTTTCTTATTTTTTAAGAAGTTCTGTGTATGTTTTCTTATTTGAATTTGTAATGTGACGATATACTATTGAATAAGACCATAGAAAAACAACGTACATTAAAATAAAAATTCCATTATTATATTAAATGACTTATTATTACAAATTTTAATGTAAAACCCATGTTTGAAAGAATTTTCAAGGAATTTTTTTTAATTTTCCTGTTGTTAAGTAAAAAGTGAATACGGGAATTATTTTTATATTCTCTAAACACTTATTAAGTATTCACTCGCTGTTTATGAGCTTGTCATTCAAAAATACACAGCACAAAAACAAAATCCCAGATTATTGAATAATATTATCACTAATTAGTTAAATATGTTAGTTATTCATTATGAAAATTACAGACCGTAATAAATGATTAATTAAAATTTTAGCTAAAATACCAACTCCGAAGACAGTTAATCATTATATGACTAATTTTATCAAATTTGTACAAACTACTATCAGTAGTTCATGTAAGAAAGATGAATAATTGTGGGTGCTGTGACGAAATGTAGCCTTGTACACATTTTTGTGAGGTCAAGGTCATTTACAACCATTATAATCATTATGGTATCAATAAATTTGTCAAGAATACCGATCGTATGATTTTAATGAAGTCAGTTCCATCAATACCATTGGTAACATGATTTTAATAACCAAATAATTCTCATGATGATTTAATTATTTTTAACACTAACATTTTATCTCAGAAAAAACACTACTTGAAATTAGAAGTTTATTCAATACATTTAGCAAATTCCTAAATATATATCTATTTTTTTAATAAGTATACTTGAATATTCAAACTTTAAATGAGAATGAGAATCTGTTTTGTTAAAATGTGTTACCGCAAACATACTGAAGATCGTAAGTTTTACTAACGAAAAATTAGCAAAAATTGATGAATAAGAACTGTGCCACCAGAGTTTTGTCATAGTTCCTTTTTAGATGACCGATGAGTAATAAATAATTTTTCTAGTACACCTTTGGCCTATACGAAACATCTATTGCAAAATCAAAACATTTAGTATATTGTAAAGATAATATGAAGAATGAATAATTCCTTTTTTGCAGACATCTACATTGAGACTGAATACAATAAGAATATATTTACTCTAGGAATATCTTGGACAGAAATATTACACCATCAGTTGACAGCTATGGTCTTGATGGAAAACTTTGGCTCAGTTCAGCAGTGATCTTAACTGACAATTCGATGAAATCGGTTTTTCCTTCAGAAAGCGGTTACAATTAATCCCAAAGTTATAAAATCTCAATTATTCATTCATAAGAAATTTATTGAAGCTATCATTTTAAACCATACAGTTTTACTAATGTATAGGGAAAACTGTTGGACGATTTTATTAGTTCTGCCTACACATTATCCATTGTTTCCTCTTCTATGCCACCTACCTACTTGAACTTACTATTTAAAAATTTCTTATAATGAAACCGTTAATAATTATTAGTTTAATAATAATAATAGACTTTTCGTATGTTCTAATGAATACATGCTTTCAAACTTCGACATACATTTGCTCACAAAACTTTTCTGTTTACTATTCTTATAGTCACTAGTATACATGTCAACTTACTATCAATTTATACTGTCTGTTTACTATAATTAAAAATGCAAACATTTCCATTGCTCTCAGTAGCCTACAAATTATCTTGCTTGGATTGGTGTTTTACATATATGCATCTAAATATTACTATAAAATGGAGTGGAGCTTTATGAAGATGTAATGGAAAACAATGGTTGGTTTAATTTATCCTATGAGAACTTTTAAGATTACGTAAACCAGTTGAAAACAATAAATATGTTGGCCAAAAATTCAGAATGATTTTTGGGTATATTAAAAGATAACAAAAGTACAAAGATGTGCTCCAAAATATTTACATTTTTCTAAAGATTCATCTTAAACCAGTTGATGTCAGTATGATTTACTTCGGTGAACGTTAGAAATTCAGAAAGATGAATCCAAGTAAACATTAGGTGATAAATCTGAAGGTTTGCCCATACCACAAATAGATTATCTATGCAAACGTCATTTATATTGGCTGTGACCAGGAAGTTCCTTTTAGATGTCCAAACAACTTCCCTGTAATTAGAAATTGGAGTTATACACTTAACTTCCAAGGCATCACTATGATGAGGACATATATCTAAACTAAACCGCCTCATCATTCGACCTCGATAGAAACCCCCATTACCTTTTTTCAACGATTCTACTTACCGTTTGGGGACCCACTTGACCCCATACAGCCGAAAGCGAATTCACTCAATCCTAGGATACATGATCGATTCCCATTCTCAGCCATACAATAAACCTTCAAACCATTTTCACCCTAAGGATACTCGTAAGTATCAACACCTAATGAAATGCCTTCGCAGTATGTGCACTTAATTTCATTGTAACTTCATCTTCCGCATCGACCAAATATGGAACGAGATAAGGACACGAAAATGTAATACAAAAGAACAGAAGATGACTGTTTGACTTATCAAAACTCAGATCAAGGTTTTAAAATTTTTTTTCATATAATGATCTGGACCTATCGATTTTATTTAGTCAAAGTTGGAACATTCAACAGACTTTCACCACACATTTAAAAGCTATTCCTTCCAGTTTCTGAGGAAGTATCGAATGATTCAGTGTTGAGATCTAACAAATTCACTCAAGTTAGACACTAGCATAAAAACTTTAGAATGTCACTCACTTAATGATATGATTCATAGTAAAGTGCATTAGGTCACCTAAGCTCAGATAATCAAACTAATCCTAATTTATTTAGCTTTCGATTAAAATGAGATGACGAAATAATTAATTATTTGGAATAAAGTATTGGTGCTAAATTGACTAGTTGATCACACTACATATAGTAGTTAAATAAACAATTCAAAAGTGGTTTGCTGGGCTTAAAATAAATGGTTACTTATTTTAATTATTAAATCCTATGTAACTTGGCTAAGTTAGGAATTAATGTAAAGTAAGCCGAGTAGAATGAAAGTAACGTGCATCCACTTTTTTGTGTAAATAATTTCGGGATATATATAGAATAAATATAGATTATTACTAAGTTAACTCGGTCACTTTATTATTGGTAATTTGTTGTACCTGCTCCACGTCCCAGTGAAATAAACTGGAAATTCAGAAAGTATTTATGTGCAAATCTTCGGATAAAATAATATCGCTTAGACTTGCAAAAACGATCTCTGCTACTATTAGTCCATCTCAATCAAGAACAAATTTTCACGATACTCGAATCGCTGTTATACAGTAAATGCAAATGAAGGGTAAATGGAAATCGAATGAATTGTTCCTCAAAGTATCTTCCCATCGTCCTAACCATGTACTAAGACAAAAAATAACTGACATTTAGTCTTTAAAAATACTCGCGTTTTTAAAGTGAGTTTCCGTAGTAAGACGGAACCTATACTCAGAACATCAGTCGTAACAAGCAATATGAGTACACTGCTTGACAATTATTGGAAACACAATCCCATGATTAAATTTTAAAAGTTATTAGATGGATTATTATTAATCCCATTATTATTATTTCACTTATCCTCGTATCGTTAACTAATCACTCCTTATACCTTTCCGTAGACAGGCGTGGTCGTTTACACTTATTCATTTGATGCGCCATACTTTGATTAGGCTTAGAAGACAACACCCATCCTCCATTATTCATTAGATTTTCTCCTCCACAGTTTGTCTCCTGAGCTGCGAGCCTGGACTAAGTGTTATCCCAATACATTACATAGACGACCTTTAATACTGCAATGTCCAACAGGAGAATTTCAAGAGCATATACGGGACGAATCTGCAATACATTAATCGAAAGAATAGAAAATAGATGTATTGCACAGTTAATTAATTTGCGTTAGAGCAACCTCCGCTCATCACTACCAACTATGAAGAAGTTTCATGTGTCAACAAATTTTGACTAAAAGTAAGACTGTGGCTTTTTTTAAGCTTTATATTTCAAGACCTAGTTCTATTGGTCGTATTTTGCAGGTGACCTTACTAATGAGCGTACGGTTGCCATATTACAATAACTGAATTTACTTTTAAACCTGAACTGATGTGTCGCATAGTTATTTCGTACACAAACGAAGGGTTCAAACTAAGATTCAGACTCGTAACCTCGAACAGTAACGGTTATCTCCCTACCTAATAATGATCAGTTCCCGTTGATCAGGAAACGAAGTAACAATCGATATTCGTCTTAGTTACGGAAACCCTTAAACATAACATACATAGGGCTTGCATTGAAGATTCGCTTCTTTAAAAAATCAACGGGAAGTACAATTAATACTATCAAAATAATTAAACAAGCAATTTGGTGCATAATATCGCGTGTCCAGTGACCTATTCAGTGGACAATGAAACGCAAATATTTTAGTTGTACAGTCAGTTACTACCTTAACTTATCAATGGTAAGGTCTCAAGCTATGAAGCTGGATGACTCGGGTTCAAACCCCATAGGGAGTATCAATTCCCACAAGAATACAGGTGCACCTTCGTAACCAGTGCCAACTAGTATAAACCTAGGTCTATAGTTCCTTTCAACTATCTCCAACATATTAACATAACAACAAAGTTCACGTTCAATTCATTTTGACTTGTAGTCACATTGCGATTTGATCAGCAGCAAAGAACTAGACAAGCATGACATCAGTTATTATTCACTGATCAGTCAATTGTGAACTGTTGTTTCAGTTATATGGAATTCGTTTAAAGAGTCAACATATAAAAACAATCACTCACTTTTAAATAGCTAGACTAATCGGTAATAAAACTGATATTTTGAAATATATCAGTGGTGTAATGAAGTGTACGGTATATGTCCATAAACGCCAACCGAAAAGTAAACAATGGCAATAACGATTAGAATAAGAACCAAAAGAAGCAACTTAAAATATAAACTTCCCAGTTACTAATATTAATGATAAACGCAAACAAAAATAAAATAAAATGGAAGACAATATTGAAATGGGCTCTGAAAATAATGATAGTAAATACAATGGTGATTAAAGAAATGATAAGAAAACAATTAAGTTGATACATAGAATATTAGGTGAAGTAGCGAATAAGTACAAGAAGCTGATGTTTATGACTTCCATCTATCTACAAACTAAAGAATGATACACTAAATAACTCAGCACTTATATATATTCTCTAAAATAAGGCGAAGGTAAATACATTGCAAATACAATTAGAAAAAGAATTGTAATAGTGACGGATGATTTAGTGAAAATACGAAGTAATAACAAGAGGAAACTTTCAAAATTAAAAAAAGTGAATCAAAAAGATACTGGTAGAATTATATTTGATGCTTGACATTTCATTCTACGTTCTACAGATTTTGGATCCATGTAAAAGTAATGATCATCTTCATCTGTATTAGAGAGATTATCATTTTTAAAAGTGCCCAAAAAATCACGCAAACGCTCAAATCGCTTTGTTCGAATATTTCTATTATTATTGTTATTATTATTATTATTGATGGCGGTTGGATTATCAGTTATATGATGAGAAGCGTCGTTGAATTCACGTGAGTTACTCTGTCTTATTAAGTGAGAATATTTTGAATTAATATTGGGTGAACCAGGAACTGAATAACAAACAGATGACTTTACATCACTGAAATCATCGTCAGTGAAGTTTAAATTTAAATTAGAATTATGCAGAAAATTAGAAAATGATTTATTTGCATTTGGAAATGCATTTGATGATGTTTTTAGGCCATCATAAACGTGAGTGAATTCAAATTTCGGTGTTAAGTAATTACGATTTAAATTCTCCCCTAAAGATAAGAAAGAAAATAGGTTTGAGACATTAGATAAAATGGTAAAAATCAGAGACAGCGGCGCAAATGACTTAACTATTTATAAGCCTTTAAAACGTAAGTTTCAAAACTGATCGATACATTTTATTTCGATAAATTCAGTCTACTTTCTCCAATCATATTCTCTATGTTCAGTATTTTAACAATCATTAATGTTACTCACGAGATATTTCGCTTTGATAATCCCATCTCACTGTGTTAATTTATGGTGTGGCTACTTGGATTGATGAACATTCGTGATGTATTGAATAAACGTGAACGATTTCCACAAACTCTTAACTAGTTCTATTAATTGCCTGAATACTTATAGTTAAGTATTTGACACGAACATCGTTAACATCTACAAAATTCAAAGCAACAGGACTAATTTGGAATATTCTCAGGTGATTCAACAAATGAACTTGGTGTTTTATTCATTAAAAATTAAACTAAGCAAAACACTTTACGTACCAATAACAAGACACTCCAGTATCTTATAGAATTCTAAATCAAAAAATATTTTTGGAAATATTGAAGATTTTATAATCCCTAATTACTGAACTTCCAAACAGTCTATAACATAAAAATGGTATTTTATAAAGGCATGTGTGTAAGGAGCTTACGTGTCGATACTTTGTTAGAGCAGGATCTGGTTTAAATCATATCAGAAATACTGACAACCATTTTAGTACAGTAGATTAAAGACGATAAGCTTTGAAGCCTAACATCAACAGAAAGGTCGTAAGACTAGATTTCTTAAAAGTATTATCAGAATAAGTACTGAAAGATGACGAACAAGTCATGTACTCATATACCGACTCTCCTACAACCCACCAATGAGTCAAGATGAGAAAAAGATAGAGAAACTGACTTGAATTTGTTTGTGTGCGACTAGAGGAGATAATCTTAGAACCAGGTCGGATACTCAGGCGCATATCTAGTTGTTGTTTACTCATGTTGAGCATTTTTGCTTCAGAAACAGCTTCTATAAGGTGATTATCTGAAAGATATCCAGTGTTAGTATGATCACAGACAGGTGGACGTCCCCACGATTCACCATCACTGAATTCACTAGAATAGCTTGCATCCGTTACGGCATTTCGACCATTCAAATAAACGTTCAATGAATTTGCAAGTTCGTTCGATTTTTTCATTTCAGATTTATTCTGGCTAGCGTGTGCTCGAATTATCTGGTTTACTGGCATAACCATAGAAGCCAGAGTGAGTGGGTGAATTTGTAAACATTCTGGTAAGCGATGACCATCCTGTGTAGAAGTCTGTGGAGATTTCGATCGAGAGGAATTATTTGGGCATGTATATTCAACAGGCTTTGATGTGGCAACCTTTGGATAAAAAGTGATAATAATTAGTAATACAATTTGATAACATTTAAGTTTAACACTTAGGTTCTTAAAGGGAAAACTCACTATTTATGTCGTAAGAGAATAAAAGATTTATGATGACGTATGCGAGACGATGATGGGTCAGATCCCATGAAGCCGAAGCTGTTTATTAAAACCAAATGTAGAGGTCGAATAATAAGACTGAAAATCTATTGACAATTATTAGTGCACAATTTCACAGTTAGCAACTGATGTATACAATTTATTTATATTATTGTTCAACAGTAAATCATATTTCTACGATGTATTTCTGACGATCAACAATAACAGTATGTACGTCCAGATACAGTCGAATAACCGTTTTGCTAAAAAAATCCACTTTAGCCTCATGTAACTCGTATTGCTATTAAGTGCTTCTGGCAAACTATCTAGGTAAAAGATGGCCTCTTAAATAGGAAACTTATCTCTTTTATCCCATGTAAGTCTTTCTAAGTTCTTTGGTATGTAAAACAACCGAGTTTGCATGATGTTTAATCGGTGAAAAGACCCACATGAACCGAGCTATGATTGAGCACACATGAGATATACAAATAAGTATATACAACTTATATAATTAGCAGGCAATATTTATTTCAAATAAAATACCCGTGACACCTTAATTCCATGTGATTCAATTTATTTGTTTTAAATATCGAATAGCAGACACTTTGAACAAAGTATTTCAGAATATTGATTTGATCGGAAAAACAAAATAAACCTGACGTAAATGACTGATTAGATCGATGAAGACAAATCACTGCATTTCTAGATTTTTCTTAACACGTAACTAAAATCAGTACAAAATGGACACACATCTCCCCATATTTCCATTTAGACTATTTAGTAGAAGCAAAATGTGAAACTGTCACTAGTTAAAATTATTTTTATTATCCATTCCTTAGTTGTTCCGAATGAATTTGATCAGTCTCATGGTATATAAGACTCTTAGATAGACACTTCCCGGATTACAAGCCGATTGTGTGGTGCATGCTGCTTATGCTGACAGATATAAGTAGTATGCAGAAGCGATCGGAAGCGAAATGCCTGCCAACAGAAGACTAAATTGAAGAAAACAAGAAGGGGAATAAAGAGCAATTGTAATAACAACAGAATTGGAAGAATCATGAATACAGGACAAATGAAGGAATATGTACAAATATTGTATGTAGTGTATGGTTTTCATATTTCACGAGGGCACTCTGTAATTTCGCATTAAACAATGAATTGATTTTTCCTACCAAGTCTTCGTTCACTGAAATTGCATCTTTTTCTGACGGTAAATGTACGGACGCATATTTGATGAATTATGATCATAAAATCTCATCCTATGAAATCCCGAGCTTAAAAAAAGTTCTATACGAGTTACACTATTGCGATACATAACACAGATTGTCACGCTTGTAGAAATTTAAAAAACACATACTTAGGCCATAATAATAAAACGATTAAGAAGGTACATTTTCGGTATGAGATTAGATGAGAAGGATCTGTTAAAGATAGTTGTGAACAGATAACATAGGACGTCAGCACACTTTTTAAAAAGTATGTTTGGGATACCATCGGGTTCTAAACATAGAGATAAATTAAGTGACTGGAGACATCTTCGTACATCAGTTTCAGTGAAAGTAGGAACACAGATATTATTTAAACCTGTGGATAAAGGGAGCATCACACCAGATGACTGACGTACAAAAGACTTATTTAAGTCACAAACATTCAGCTGGTTATCGCTCCTGACGTCTGTCACCTGTAAGTTCTTTAAAGGGTTTCCACACACTTGGAGAGTTTTTGAGTAAACATAGAGTTGAGACGTTTAATCTCTAGGTTTATCAGACCATTTAGCTTAAGAACTTCATTAGAGTTCTTCTCCTTGTACATTCTTTCTTTCATTCTCCGTAATCGTTTTAGTTGTATAGATGTAAGTCGATCAAAACTTACAAAAATGGTTTCAGTGGGACAACAAATATCAAAACAGAATTTAAGATAACAAGTGATAACATCAGTGGTGATTTCCAGTGAGTCATCTGTAAATAATTCCTAGTTAGTCGTATGAAACATGTTTTTCAGGTTTCGGATATTTTCTTCTGAGTAATTCCTATATTTGACTTTCTTGGTTTGATGTAAGAGTGTACTTTCCCCATGCTTTCCATATACTTTAGGTAGAACATGAATTATACAATGATCCGAGCTAGACAATGGAGCACGTTTACGAGTCGCATATATACCCACTTCATTAATGAAGACGAAGTCTAAATGAGCATCCAAACGGGTAAGAAAATCTACTACATTTTGGTGACCTAGTGATGTAAGGAAGCTACAGTCACATGAATTGAAATCACCACATACAACTGAAAGTGAATCACTGAAGGTAGTAACAGCAAACTCAGTGAATTCATCAGCGAAAACAGATAGTGCAGATGATGTGCAGTCTGGAGTCACGTAGATATTGGTAACATAAATATATTTTTATTTATTCAGATGTTTTGGACGACATCTTAGAGTTAGACAGTCGATAGTCATTTGAAAACTTAAAACACACAAACGAAGATCGACACCAGTTTATGTTTAAAAACGCAGCTACACCGCCGCCACACCTTATTTTGTTGTTTGATCGATCCTGACGATAAATTTTGAAATCATGTAGTAATACTAGGCAGTCTTCCTGTAAATCATTTAACCAAGATTCTTGAATTATGATGACACCACAATTACGATACATATTTTGACTTAGTAGGAACTGAAGATAGTCCACTTTGTTGATTAGTGATCGGCAGTTAGAATTTAGCAGCTCGGGAATCGACAGCACTCCCTTGAATGCAGCGAATGGAATGTACATTGGACCTATGACTATATTTTTGAACAACTGATCAACAGTTCGAAACAAATTCCAATTAAAGCACCCAGGGGATCACAGTAATAACATAATTATTCGTTAAAACACTATTTCCAGCATCCAGTAATATGTATGTAACGATTTTAACAAATAAGGGATAATACTAACCTTGGCAAGGTAGAGTTTAACAAGATTCGAAGATAATAGACTATCAGGAAGAACATAATCTGAACAGTTAAAGGATGATAAATTAAGTGGCTGAGACAGTTTGGCTACTGAACCAGAACAGGAACTTGGTACTTTAGGATAAATTTCGGGAGTCGATATACAACTATGTAGTGGATGGTCTACAACTGTAGCGACTGAAGACTTTCTTGAGCGTAAATCACAACCTCTTATTCCAAAATCTTTGATATCTGATAAATCCTTAGACGCTGAAAATCCAATTTCTTCATTGTTTAACTTCTGTGAAAAACCCCCGAAAACTTGATCAAGAGCTGGACCACCATCAGGATAAACGGACGATGGATGGCGAATTCGGAAGGCAGTAGGTAACTGCCCAAAATTAACATTGTTGGAAATTTTGGGGAGCTAAACGATAATAGGGAATATTTACTGCAAATTAAGTTATTAAGAATTATAACAATCGATATACCTACAGAAAACCAAAAATATTCTTATACAGTATTCATTTCACACAAACTGTGGCATCTTCGTCTGGTTTTGCTGGCGTTGGTGTCGCACTAAGCGCTAGAGCTGAGGCAGCACTAGTCGATTGGATCCCCATTAACAGTCGGTTATGTGCTGTTAGATTAGAAAGTTCCATCAAAGTGAGAAGAAATCGGCGTGAGAAACGATGTCTTTTCGTCATCTCCGCCTATGCCCCGACAGATTGCAGCCCGGATGCAATCAAGGATGAGTTTTACCACCAGTTATCAGTTCTTCTCCAGAAAGTGCGTTCGACAGATATTGTAGTACTAGCCGGAGACTTGAATGCTCAGGTCGGGCGTCTAGGCACAGAAGAGAGTCGTTTAGGTGGCCGATGGGGACTCGTTGGTCGCAGGTCAGATAACGGGGACCGTCTACTGCAACTTTGCGCAGACCACAACCTGTTTCTGGCTAGCACTAACTTTCGGCACAGTCATCGCCGATGTGCCACCTGGCGTCCTCCCTCTGCATCTCAAGCCTGGACTCAGATTGATCACATCGCGATCAGCTACCGCTGGCGTGGTTGTGTACAAGACTGCCGCTCCTTTTGGAGTACCTATCTGGACTCTGACCATGCCTTGGTCTGCGCCAATCTTGCCTTACTTTTCAGTGGACAACGAAGTGAACGCCATCAACGGATTGATGTTAGCAAGCTGGTTGCAACTTCTGTTGCAAGTAAGTATCGAACCGAGCTAGCCTCTAGGCTAGCTACCACTCCACCGAAAAGTATAGATGAGCATTGGTTGCAATTGCATGACGCCATGAAAATGGCGGGAACAGTCAGTTGTGGGTTTGCGAAACGTCCCGCTTTTAAGCACTGGGTTTCTTCTGGTTCCTTACAACTCATTGAAGCCCGTCGGTCTACTCCGGGTAACCGTGAGTTTGACCATAAACGAAGGTTTTTACGTAAGGAAATCGGGCAAAGCTTGCGTAAGGACCGAGAAGCCTGGTGGTCGATGCGTGCTAATGAGCTGGAAGCAGCAGCTGCATCTGGTAACTACCGGAAGCTCTTCCAACTCATCCGAGCCACTGGCAGCAAGAAGTCTGGTGTGAGTGAAACAATCTGCGAGGATGATGGGATGCCAATCACTAACATCCATCGACGTCTTGGACGATGGGCAGAATTTTTCGAAGGGCAGTTCAACTGGCCTGCTGCTCCGGTAACATCGGTCAGACTGTCCTGCCCTCCATGGCCGGTGACGACTGATCCACCAAATGAGGAGGAAGTCCGCAAGGAACTCCAACTCTTGAAGCGTTACAAATCACCTGGCCCAGATGACTTACCTCCGGCTCTTTTTAAAGATGGTGGTGACTTTTTGACTAAGGAATTGACGACGTTGTTTACAAAGGTTTGGGATCTAGAGAGTGTACCAACGTCATGGAATGAGTCGATAGTTGTCCCTATCTTTAAAAAGGGTTCACGTCGTTCTTGTAACAACTATCGGGGGATAAGTTTACTTCCGATTGCGTCCAAGCTATTGGCTTCCGTCATTCTTCGTAGGTTGTTCAAAACCCGAGAAAGATTGACTCGCGAGGAGCAGGCTGGGTTTCGTTCTGGTCGAGGATGTATTGATCATATCTTCACCCTCCGCCAAATGTTAGAACACCGCCATACTTTTCAAAGGCCAACAATCGTAGTGTTTCTTGACATCAGGGCTGCCTTCGATTCGTTGGATAGGACTGTTCTCTGGGATTGTCTATTGAAGAAGGGTGTGCCTGAGAAGTTTATTAACATCCTAAAAGCCCTGTATAAAAACACCTCAGGCAGAGTGAGGGCATACAACCACCTCTCTCCATTGTTCCATTCGAGCAGTGGGGTTAGGCAGGGTTGCCCAATCTCACCATTCCTCTTCAACTTTGCCATCGATGACATTCTGGAAACAGCTCTGATGAATGTAAGTAATGGTGGTGTGGATCTGTTGCCTGGAGAAAGACTTCTCGACCTTGAGTATGCGGACGATATTGTCTTACTGTGCGATAATGCCCAAGGCATGCAATCCGCACTTAATCAGTTGGCAATCAATGTCCGTAGGTATGGTATGTGCTTTGCACCTTCGAAGTGCAAAGTACTTCTACAAGACTGGCAGGATTCTAATCCTGTACTCACCCTGGATGGTGAGCAGATAGACGTAGTTGAGAAGTTCGTGTATCTGGGTAGCTGCATAAGTGCTGGTGGGGGTGTGAGTGATGAGATCAATGCACGAATAGTGAAAGCCAGAGCGGCTTATGCCAATCTGGGCCACCTTTGGCGCCTTCGTGATGTTAGTCTGGCTGTAAAAGGCCGGATCTACAACGCGTCGGTGAGAGCAGTTTTGCTCTATGCTTGTGAAACCTGGCCTCTCCGAGTTGAGGACGTTAGACGACTCTCTGTGTTCGATCATCGCTGTCTCCGAAGGATTGCTGACATTCAGTGGCAACACCATGTCAGTAATGCAGAGGTTCGGCATCGTGTGTTCGGGCACAGAGATGATAACTCAATTGGTGTCACCATCTTGAAACACCGACTTCGGTGGCTTGGACATGTTCTCCGAATGTCGTCCCAGAGAATTCCACGTCGTGCATTATTTGCCGACTCTGGGACTGGTTGGAAGAAGCGGAGAGGTGGTCAGTGCATGACATGGTGTCGTGGCATGAAAGAAAGCTGCAAAGGACTGGCTTGTGTTGGTCCTTCACGACTCCCTGGTTGGGGTCCGAGAGATGGTGCAACACAGTGGCTAGAGACGTTATCAGATATGGCTCAGAATAGAAGCCAGTGGCGATCCTGCTGTAACCTTCTTTTACTTTCTTCATAAAAAGTGGTTGTGTCTCCTTTACCTGAAAGATTTCTTCTGATTGTACCTCTTCGTCATTACTCTCTTTTTCTTTTGCGTTCCTTAGTTTTTTTTTCTTTTCTTTCTACTTCTCTTCGAATTCCCATTGTTTTGTGTGGCGCATATATATTGGCGCTCTCTTGTACCAATATTTATGTGTTCAAATAAATAAATAAATAAATAATCACACAAACTGATTCTTGGTCATAGTGTAAGTATATAGCTCTCTACAAGCCTTACTTGTGGCACAGAACACAAGTTCATCTGCATATCAAAAAGAGATCATACTGTGAAGCACTTTTCTCCGTATTAGTCTATGGACTTTAAAATAAAAGATATCCAAACATCACTAGCATTTTACGAAAAACGTCGTCGGAAATTTTTCACATGTAATAGAACTACCGAGTAAGCACTGCTGAGATGAAGTGTGTAGTACCATATAGAAACGGTAAATTGATTGAAGGGATTCTGAAAGCCACATTCACTAGGATGACTAGGCAGGTATAACACATCCAAGCCACTTTTTACTGTAGCGTGCAACTGGGGCTTCTATGGAGATGGTTCAGAAGGTTTTATGGTTCAAAACTAAGATTCCACATCAGACCGAGAAATTATTGTTCACTGATGATTCTTCCTAAATTATATTCTCTATGTATACTTTTCTGATATCAGCAAAATCATTATCGCTTTGATCCTTCTAATGTTCGTTGTGTTAGTTAGTGCTGAAGCAAAAAGTGGCAACCTCAACTAATGGATAATTTTGTTAGGTCCTTGTTTATGATTAACTAAAAAGTAGATAATACTGTCTCATTATGTGATATAATTTAGTAAACTAGCCTGGGACTGTGACTTACCAGTATTTACATCCAACTGTTACTCAAATCATAAAACTTCTACAGTCAGGTGAATGAGAAAACAACACGGATTTTCGCAACACACTCGACTGTCATTGACCGTACAGATATATCAATTATATACGCGATGTGGAGGGGGGAAGGTAGTGAAATCCAACTGATTCCCCTTCACAGCCATTATCAGATCCAGTTAAAAATCATATGACACTAAAACTTAGACAAGTGAAGAACTCAATACTTCTACACACTTAAAGAAATATGGTCACATTGGATAAAAAATCCTGACCACCTTCGAAGTGCCATTTGCAATCTTCACGAGGAAGCACATAAGTTCACCTGTTCTTGATACCATGAAACTTTACAGTTCAAGGATAAACAAAATAAGTCACAATGTATATTCGACCATAAAATAGTGGTTATTGCTAAATTACTGGAAATTCAGTTAAACTACAGTACTAAATGATCCATTAAGTTTATATCATGGGTAGGTTTACCCACAAATCTTTTGTCTAGATGATCCCGCTACGAGGGAGCAATACCTCAAAAGGACATTTAACTTTGAATAACGACAACAAATAGCAAAGTTTAACTTCTAGGAGCTAAAGTTTCGGCGAAACGAACACAGGGGACTTATCGAAAATTCGTTGTATATTTTAAATTTCGTAGTATCCAAAAAAGTACTCAGTTTACCCAATAACGTTAACTGGAAAGGACGATGGGCAGAATTTTTCGAAGGGCAGTTCAACTGGCCTGCTGCTGCGGCAACATCGGTCAGACTGTCCTGCCCTCCATGGCCGGTAACGACTGATCCACCAAACGAGGAGGAAGTCCGCAAGGAACTCCAACTCTTGAAGCGTTACAAATCACCTGACCCAGATGACTTACCTCCGGCTCTTTTTAAAGATGGTGGTGACTTTTTGACTAAGGAATTGACGACGCTGTTTACAAAGGTTTGGGAACTAGAGAGTATACCAACGTCATGAAATGAGTCGATAGTTGTCCCTATCTTTAAAAAAGGTTCACGTCGTTCCTGCAACAACTATCGGGGATAAGTCTACTTCCGATTGCGTCCAAGTTATTGGCTTCCGTCATTCTTCGTAGGTTGTTCAAAACCCGAGAAAGATTGACTCGCGAGGAGCAGGCTGGGTTTCGTTCCGGTAGAGGATGTATTGATCATATCTTTACCCTCCGCCAAATGTTAGAACACCGCCATACTTATCAAAGGCCAACAATCGTAGTGTTTCTTGACATCAGGGCTGCCTTCGATTCGTTGGACAGGACTGTTCTCTGGGATTGTCTATTGAAGAAGGGTGTGCCTGAGAAGTTTATTAACATCCTAAAAGCCCTATATACAAACACCTCAGGCAGAGTGAGGGCATACAACCACCTTTCTCCATTGTTCCATTCGAGTAGTGGGGTCAGGCAGGGTTGCCCAATCTCACCATTCCTCTTCAACTTTGCCATCGATGACATTCTGGAAACAGCTCTGATGAATGTAAGTAATGGTGGTGTGGATCTGTTGCCTGGAGAAATACTCCTCGACCTTGAGTATGCGGACGATATTGTCTTACTGTGCGATAATGCTCAAGGCATGCAATCCGCACTCAATCAGTTGGCAATCAGTGTCCGTAGGTATGGTATGTGCTTTGCACCTTCGAAGTACAAAGTACTTCTACAAGACTGGCAGGATTCCAATCCTGTACTCACCCTGGATGGTGAGCAGATAGAAGTAATCGAGAAGTTCGTGTATCTGGGTGGCTGTATAAGTGCTGGTGGGGGTGTGAGTGATGAGATCAATGCACGTATAGTGAAAGCTAGAGCGGCTTATACCAATCTGGGCCACCTTTGGCGCCTTCGTGATGTTAGTCTGGCTGTAAAAGGTCGGATCTACAACGCGTCGGTGAGAGCAGTTCTGCTCTATGCTTGTGAAACCTGGCCTCTCCGAGTTGAGGACGTTAGACGACTCTGTGTTCGATCATCGCTGTCTCCGAAGGATTGCTGACATCCAGTGGCAACATCATGTCAGTAATGCAGAGGTTCGGCATCGTGTGTTCGGGCATAGAGATGATAGTTCAATTAGTGTCACCATCTTGAAACACCGACTTCGGTGGCTTGGACATGTTCTCCGAATGTCGTCCCAGAGAACTCCACGTCGTGCATTATTTGCCGACTCTGGGACTGGTTGGAAGAAGCGGAGAGGTGGTCAGTGCATGACATGGTGTCGTGGCATGAAAGAAAGCTGCAAAGGACTGGCTTCTGTTGGTCCTACACCACTCCCTGGTTGGGGCCGAGAGATGGTGCAACACTGGCTAGAGACGTTATCAGATATGGCTCAGAATAGAAGCCAGTGGCGATCCTGCTGTAACCTTCTTTTACTTTCTTCATAAAAAGTGGTTGTGTCTCCCTTACCTGAAAGATTTCTTCCGATTGTACCTTTCCGTTCCCTCATTACTACCACACTAACTTACACCAATCTCTTCGTTATTGTTCTCTTTTTTTACGCTCCTTACCTTTTTTCTTTTCTTTTCTCTTCGACTTCCCATTGTTTTGTGTGGCGCATATATATTGGCGCTCTTGTCAGTCAGTCAGTCAGTAACAACGTAGAACTTCGTACGTACGTACATCAGTTCGAGTTGCCACACCACCTTAGCACAGAGATGCAGTTGTCGAGTCAAATCCCGTAGTGGTAGAGGTAATAAGAGTATAAGCAGTAATCGGGAAGATTAGGGTTTGGAGATGTTATTTAAAGAGTATAATCCAGTGAAAGAAATTTGGAAAGAAAATAAAGGACATGAAGAATTCAGGTTAGAATTTGGGAGAACACAAAGAGTGGATGCACCTGCGCCATTGCAAACGATTTTGATCCATGTCATTCAGGGTCTCTAACCATCAGTTGCTATCATCTCGTGGTCCCCAACCAGGTAGTCTACACCTACCAACATCACTCAGTCCACTTGTCAGTGACTTCATGGACTTGTGCCATGTTTTGGTTTGGCCGCCCCTAGCTTTCTTCCAACCTACTCCTATACTACTGAACATAGCACGTCGAGGCAGTCGGTCGTTGGGCATACGTAACACGTGTCCCAGCCATCTCAACTGATGAAGTTTCACTACTTCATTAATTGATTTGCCATCCTTACCTAGTACCCGATCCCTAACAACTGTGTTACTTACTCGTGTACCAATATTTGTGTTCAAATAAATAAATAAATAGGGTTAAACGGTGATTGTGAGGTACATATAATATTTAGTCCAAAGTGATTGGTTAATATAAATAGTTAATAGCATTCAAGTGAGAAAAATATAAATTAATTAAACAAGAGTTGTAATCCTGCCTCACCTCGGAGTATCCAGTGAACGATAACGCACGTTTTCGACGGAGAGGTGGTTCTACCATAATTGGATATGATTTTTGGTTGGCAGCTTTGAACCACTTGAGGGTTGCAAAACGTCTCTGTATTACATTTTAACAAAGAAGGGAAGTAACATAGTTTGAAGGAAACAGATTTGGTGTTAGCTAGATTAGTTAATGAACAGATGGTTAGTGATAGTGTATAAGCAAGTAAACCAAAACATATGAGTTAGTCCGGCCAGAAGAATCCTAAATACTATATGCAAACAACTCATATGAAATTGCACGTTTTAAGTGACAACTAAACTGTTTTCAATTGTAATGAAACGTTTTTGTACAACATAGCACCGAGAAGGTTACACAAGTTGAAAGGACGATATGGAAACAGAAAAGAAAAGGCTGGATAGTCAATAAATGGACAAGAATAATATCTATTATAAACAATGGTTTTTGAACTGAAATAAGTTTAGTGATGTTTAGGAACTCGAAAAAGGGTAAGACCACAACTAGTGTGGTTAATGATGATACTCAGTAACCTAAAAGAAATTAGGCTTTAAACCTAAAAACTAGTCGTTGAAAACTGTGAATTTACTACGATAGTATACTAATTGAAGCGTGATAGGATACCTGAATTGTCATATCTTACCAAAAAAATCTACCCAGTCAACTAACCTAGGATCTGCTTCTATCCTCGTAAAGAGCTACAGACAAGTCATCACATGACTGACTTAGACATCAAATTGTGGCTATTACAGAACTTCTTAGTGCTACCGATCTAAACTTTCAGATGTTCTATGCCGGCATTAAACCAAATTCTACTTATCGATTAATCGGAGACTATAATTTACGGACGATCTTTGAGAGACGTTAAAGTGATCATGAGAATGTCCACCTATTACCAAGGACTAAATGACGGGTATTGTGATTGACAGTTAATGGCGAGGGTCAAGAACTAAACTTAGAGATTTCATCCCGAACTGACATCAGCTAAAATGTCAAAACGCTAGTTAGCCAAGAGGATGAAAGAATTTGGCACCAAAATCCAAGACCTACCATCTTATATCTCATCGGTTCGTTCACAAATTAGTCTCGTTGATTAATCTATCATTCGCTGAAAGCTGACCGAAGTCGAGTCCATAATTCATTAATTCTTAGCCTGTCCTGTGTATAGGACATTCCAGGGGGTTTTAGGTTGATGTGCTTGAACGTATGATCTATGTATTGTCATTACCCGAATTTCTCACTTAGAACTCATCTAGAATGCCCTCAAAGGTCATTACGAAGGATAAGGAAATATCAGTTTCTGTCTATCCATGATAACGGAAAAAAAATTGTTTTAGGAAACTAGCGAATTAGTGCTGCTTAACGAACTGCTCAAAGCTAGTGTATCAAGAGATTTGTTCATCGGCTCAGTTTTCTTAAATGTTTAGGAGAAGTAGGCAATATTGACAAACCAATGACGTTTCGCAGGATTCATTGACGCATTATAAATCATAATAGCACCTGGAGAAATCCCGATAGTTCATACGAGTTTTGGTTATTCGTATACAAACTACTGACCAATTATAACTGTCACTTTTTAGTCATAAATAGCTTCATAACCAAACATCCCTGAATAGAAGAGAGCTCAAGGTCGTCCATATACATTACTTCCACAAAAGCTTTTATTCTAGAGAACCTTACGTATATGCACTGTGTCATATCATGCATATATTACACACAGAATAACATGAATAGATAGACTTTGAATTACTGAACATGACAAATTCAATAGTTTACCGTCTAGTACTTTTAAAGTGCATACGTTTGAAATTTCATTCAGCTTCAAGGACACAGTTCTAAAGATACGCTGACACATCTTCGATTCAATATACAATACAGTTAAATACTCTTCCCAATGTACATTGAGTTCAGCCAAGCCAAAAACCTTCGGACGTCGACCTAGATTCATTGAGTACTTCGAAATTAATTTATCTATCAAGTGAAAGAGTAATTTATCTTTAAAATTAGGAATGATTGGTAAGTTCGCTCATTATAAATCAGCCATTCGACCAATAAAATGTGATGAGGTGTGTTTTGCTGAGGTTTCAGGCAAATAAACAACTTTATTCAATCGAAGCTCTGTTTACATATCCAATCGATCACCAACCCTTTCAATTAAGCTGGTTATATAAAATTGTAGTGGTAAAAAAATTCATGAAATAAAAACCTTTGTAAATCATTGGCGTGAGAACAGAATTTCTGAAGGACTTTCTTTGAAAGCCTTTAGGAATTTTTATACTAATGCTTCAGCAGCACACCTCTCTTCGACTATGTCAAAAAAATACGAAATACTTGTCATCCGTCAGTAATGTCAATGCACTTGGTATAAAGACATTTGTGGTAAAAAGCTAAATCACTTATGGGAAATAATCTCAACACTAAGTTATGGAAAAATTTTTTACTCATTTCTTTACCAATGTCCAGGAGTTTGTATGAAGAACGGAACATTAATATTCGTACGTAAACCAAAGGGTGACGAGGAAATGCAAAGTCATACGATTATTTAAATGTTTTTTTACTCAAGAGACACTATGAAATAATAAAGATAAGGTCCACATATTGTCTGACTGGTTTATCAAGATATATATCGTATAGGCGCCCTTCCTTTGATTACAAATAACCCCCTCCATTTACACTCTGGATACAGTGACGATTGACGATCTCAGTGTCTTTGGTCTGCTAATATACTGATATTTAGGAATACATTATCGTTAATATTAATAAATAGACTTGATGTGGTTATATCTACTTGATCTAGCGTAATGCATTTTAGATTACTTAGGGAGAACCTGGACCGTATTTTAAATCACCTAACCTCCATGTAATCTAAAGCAGGTTATCAAGTGACTAAAAAAAACCACATTAAGTCCAACTTTTCTGACAGGTGCGAAGCAGCTAATGCCGTGACCTTCATCGACTTTAGTAGAAACTCTGATAAGTTTCCGTGTAGAAGACTATCCCCAAGGTCATTTTCAATATACTAATGTAGAAAATAGTGTGACAATGGTATCGAGTGTGGCGCTGAAACAGTGAATATAGATACAACATCAGATGACTTCTTTTCGAACAGTGTCGTCTCTACCAGGCGAAACCACAATGTACAGCAAAGCCACAACACAATAAATGATCAAAGCATAAAAAATAAGACAACCACTTAATGTGGCGGAAACCAGTTCTCTGCAAGTAAGGTAACTAGATTCTACCCAGAAGGAAAACTATGAAAACTTTTCAATGAACAATCACTGTGGTACAATGTTGAATTTGGGATGAAAAAGGAATAAATAATTGGCTGTTCGAAACAATACCCGTTCCTTACAACTGCCAAAATATTTCCTTTCCGTCAAGAGCAGAAACAAACAACAGACAGAATGGAACCAACCAAGTAGATGTTTTGCAATATGATCACTATCAAACATCTTAAAGACTTCAAATTTTAGAAAAATAGTAGCAATCAGAACAGTACCAACAACAAACAGCTGGTCCAAAATTCACGAAACCATTTGGCAATAATAATTAATAATAAAAAAAGAAAGCTAAATATGTGTCCGCACGGTCAACGACAGGGCGAACGAACTAAATAAGGGAAGAGAATAGAAACATCCACACAGAAAACGTCCATTGACGAATTTCATACAATCCTATACACAGGGATACTGAAATAGATTCCAGGCATCTAGACACGTGGGTGTTAAAACCCTTATGAATTTGTACAAAGTATATGCTCGACTACTGCATCTAAGCACATGGTTCCTGCCTTAAATAAGACAATGGTCTATTGGAAAAGGTTTTAATATTACCAGCTTGATTGCATTCCGGAATCACTAGGCTGCTGCGTGATGGGGAGCTACTTGAACCAACCCTCTCATCAAGCCATCAGTGAGTTAAATTCCAAAACTCAACAAGTGACTGAAACCTCGTCTGTCGACGCGTTCAAAAAGCCTCCAAGTGATTTGTCCCATAGTCAGATTACCACATGCCACATGGCCTGCTGTAATTTTAAGATCGATTCAGATACGCTGGACAAATAAGAGACCAAAGTTGCTCGACAAGAGCTTTAAAATGTTCACTTTTCATTCCTGCGTACACCATGATTTTGTTATCTAGTCAGCTAAGATATTGAGTGCTCCACCCTCATAGTTTTGTATCTTATTCAAGCAGATCACTGACCACGCAAGACTCATCCTATCCTGATGGCTGGGTCAACAGCTTCATTAGGGCAGGCGTTACAAGTCACACCATGGTGCTGATGTGTATTTTAGCTATTCTTATCGCATTTGTTAAAATCGTTGTAAATAATTAGTTGTGTCTAACCTATCACCGGAACCTTATTTTTAACAGTCCAAACCCTGTTAAGATCTGTTCTGTGGCAAATTGCAGGACTAATTGATGGAATGACAGTATTATCACAGATATGAGTTCTTCATGATTAACACATGGAATCTCGTTTTTGTGCGAAAATTTATTATTTTGGAAGTCTTTTAAATGATCAAGCTTAAACTGCATTACTTCTAGTAATCAAATTTATCCTTGATTAGTGATATGAAATCCGATTTGACCGCCAAACTAATACTCAAAGAAATGATGACATTAGAGGATGGTTTTGAGTGAAAAACGAATGTGAGCGTTTTTCTATTGTCTGTAACCACAGTATACCTATTTTGCTACCAAAAGGTTTCATGTTGTAAAGCAACTTCATACTAAGTCACTCGGAGTCGCATATGGGTGATTTTCGCCTTCATTCAGGTGCAGAGCATTCATGTTAAGGAATTTCGGATTTAATGAAAGTCGAAATGCTTGGTTTTTTCAGAATGTACGTTTTTGTTATTCGAGTTCAAAATAATGGTGGGTATACTATCAACACATTCACAAAATCGTTAACGAAATTCGGTATTCATGCACATGATTATGCAATGTGATCTAAGGGATTGTGACAGATAGATAAGTGACTCCGTGAATTCTACTCACTTTAGACCGATAAATAACTTATGAAAACTTTATTCTATATTGATAACGCCTCAACTACCAAACCAGTCTTCCTACTTCAATAGATGTGACAGAATGAAGCGTATGATTCACTATACTAAAGTTGTGAATTGTTTATGTGTGGCATGAACTTATCGTAATGTTAATAATCATTTACAGTGCGGAAAAAGCATTTTGCGAGAAAAGTTCAACTAATGTTAGGTTCATGACTTCGACGTTAAATCGTTTGATCCATCTAGCTGTAATGCAATGTTGTTTGTGTGATTGGTACCACGAAATACCATGAAATCATACGCCGAATCAATTATTTTTTAGCTGAAAAATTTAATTTGTTTAGGAAGCTTCATCTGCTGTCTCACAAGTTAGTCAAATAGCGGTGAGCAGTGCTGAACTTAGTAATCTGGTTAGTTACAGGTTACATTAGATACTAAACTCTTAACTGATATGGAAATCAATTGTAATGTAATATTATTCAAAAGATGGCTTGTGTTCTTCCAAAAGTCTTATAAACTTTAACTCCAATGTAGCCTAGAACTTCGACAAGTCACAGGCAAGAAATGAATTTCTAGGCGCATATTAAGGAATTGTGTTGTATTGTTATGATGGGTTTAAACACAACAAAATATATTTCCATGTGTAGCCAATTTAATGTTAATTCACCACATGTTAGCACTAATGAAATATGAGTAATAAATAGTGTGGGTATACTCCATGTGTTGAATGCGTATCTGATGTTGGACGACTCACCAAATTACGTCGTTAAGAGATGGACAACTTTAACCTCAAGCATAATGATTACGACTGGCTGATTGTAGTATATTTACTTGCTGAGGAACTTCGTCACATAGCAAATAATTTTCTTGTGAACTTTAGCGTATAACCATCTCCAAGTGTATAAAGCATTCTGTTGCTGTTCAAACGAGTACGTTACATGTAGAACAGAAACCACTTCGGTCGCTCAGGAAAAACAACAGCTCTTCCGGCAGACACATGTGATTCTAACTGCTAACTTCCAAAATGCCTTAAATAACTAACTAGTTATTTGAAATTTCTAAATAACTACAGTACCACCTGTAAAAACAACTAACGTGCATTTAAAAACGAACTATAATGATTTCCAACATTTTTTACGACTTCCTTTACTTTATTGAGTGCATGTCATTCGCGTTTGTGATATTCCTGCATCGGGTGAAGTGATTACTTGTTGTAGATCATTAAAGCCACTCATGAATTGTGCCTAGCTGAAGAAACACCAAAATAATGAGGAATTTTCGGGCTTCAGAATGCAAAGCAACAAACAATAATTTGAATATTTACAGTTTAAATCACGAACCAATCTAATTCAAACCACCTTTGTAAAGTAAAATGCACTAGACCACCCTCTCGTCCTGGTTTCGGATTTTTCAGCAGTGCGTATCAACGATTCCACATGTGGGACACGTACATAGGATCTTTGATCTCATGTACGAACGCACAGCATCTAAACCACTAAAAGAGCATTCAACAGTGTTCATCCACAGGTTCAATCGATCCACGATTTTGCTTTTCATTTCATTCATTATCTAAGTTACATAACCATCACACACTCTTCATGGATTGAACTTCTTTGGTCACGAGTCCTCACCAGAACTCCAGGACTTACATCTTGAAGCTAGTCAATAGTGAGCTCATGATGCTAGCTCAGTGGTCTAGAAGTTAAGGTCCCGTGTCCATGTCCCACGTGATCTAGCTTAGATCAATTCGTGATTTCAACTTTGAATATAATACAGTCTCTGAAAATCTTCATAATGATAGTAATTGAAGTGTTAAGAAGGAATATCAAG